TGAATTACTGATGCTGTGGCTGTGCTGGGCTCTATTGTGTGCCACAAATCTTGCCAGAGACCAAAAAAGCCTCATAGCATTAGAAATTGCTAGGGAGAGAATAAAAATCAAGCAAGAAAGCATCACTATGTCGCTACATAAATACACCTACACCTCAAACACTGCGTGCAGAATGTGGTAGGATATGAAGGATGGCCAAAGGTAGTGAGGGGCATATCACTGTGAAACCCTTAAAATAAATTCGTAACTTTACTCTGAAAGAGAAACATCTAACATTTTTGATTGTCTCTGCAAAAATGTAGGGGCATCAAGTGAAAGAAGCAGGTGACGTCCAAAACCAAATGAATTATTTAAACCATGGAGATCATCATTTTAGGACATTTTGGATCATGAAAATTATATTTGTTCAAAAGCAATTGGACTGAATGACAAGAGAGAAAAAAAAAAGGAAAAAAAAAAAAACAAGAAAAGTTTCAAACGACAAAACCTCTGGCTTACAAAGTCCCTGAACCTCTAGTGACTGGGACAGTATTCTGGAGTAATGACACTTCCCTGGGCACTGTTTGAGGACAACAATCAAGTGAGTGGGTACTGAACTGGCTGACCAGGTACAGCCATTTTCACTAGGATGTCTCAACATATTTCTGCAATTCAGCAGAAGGCTTTTTTCCTAAGCACTGGATTTATGCTCACAAACTTTACAGTTTTGACAAATCAACATCCACCAGTCAAAATTCTCCTCGAAAGAAATAACCTAATGCACATTCAGAAACTTTAATATTTAAGCTGCACATTCTAGCCCTCTTGAGCTATGCCTGTGCCAGTAAGTAGAATAGTTTATATTTTATGTTTATTTCAGATGGAGATGATTATATCATCATTTGAAAACTCTCAGAAATTATTAGAGCAATATAGAATTTTACCACTCTGTGGCGCCAGATAATTAAAAAGAGGTTGAGCTTTTAAAGGGAAGCCATGGACCTTCTCATAAACTGTAGTTTTTATTAGTAACTGAAGTAATTCCAGATTCTTCCATCCAGAGGTACCAAAGCACAAATACTAGAGGTTGTTTAGATAAAATGCCACTTTTCTGTTACTGAAAAACAAGCCACAGCCTTGAAAAAGCAACACTTTAAGTCATCTCATAATAATAATAATAATTGAACAAGAATGATCTTTCTCCCTTTCTCTCCTCCACTTAAACAATACCTTAAAAGTTTTCTGTCAAGAAAGATACTTTTAAATTTGAACTTAAATTACTTTTAAATTTTAAATTTGACTGTCACCTGAAAATGATCAGTTTATTTATATCACAGTTTTGTAATTGCAACTAGTGTAAAAAATGGGAACCTTTTTCTCTGTTTCAAGTCTCAAATATATATGTCACCCTTTCAAGAATCCACACAAAAACGAACTTACAGAAGACATTGTATGATCTAAGATTTTAGAATCACAAGATATTTCCTGGCATATATGTCCAACTGTAGACACATACCTATACTTAAATGGTTTCCATATTGATCTATGTGAGAAAAGACCAGAAAAAGCTCCTTTTGTCACGAAGGGGTAAGGTCCTGATCCAGCATGTCATAATGACGTTGTACATACGCAGAAAAGTCTCATAAACGCAAAATTTTTCATTCTAGTTGCAGATTTGATGACAACTTGATCGTCTCTGGAATGAAGCTGGTGGCATTTTTTGGATTAGCTTTCACACACCAGAGTAGATGTTTTGCAATACCATGTTCATAATACTTTTTAACAAATGAGGTTATTGTTTAACAAGACAACCAGGAACTTAGAACTTACTATCTTGCATTAAGTCAATTACAGACAGTAAAAAATTTGCAACATCTTCAGCCCATGTGGAGGCTAATATTTAGAATTCATATTACAGAGAGAACTATTTCTTAATGTTCTGACTTTGTTTCACTTCTGCAGGGAGCCAGCTAACAAATGATCACTCCAAAGTGCAAATACCTTGCAGTTTGTTTCTATAATGTACTGTGTATCAGTTCTTTGCATTTCTCCACATATATTCAGGAATATGTGCAGATTTGTTACTGCTTACATGTACCTTCCATCAGCAACAACAGTAAGGAGGAACAACTCTCTTCCTGAATCTGTGCTTACATGTACAATAGTTTTCTGTGTCTTTGCCTGGAAGATTTATGGCTTTCCCCCTTGCTTTCTATTTACAAAATAAAGTCGTAGTTAGTATTCTTTGTGTTTTGTTCTATGCATCCCAGTTGTTCTACTTGTAATTCTATTTCCTTCACTAAGGGAACACAGATTCTAGCCACCTCTACATACTTCACAGCTAGGGCAGTTGAGAGAAAATCCTGACTATCCCTATTCTTTCCTTCAGAATATTTTTTCAAGCCTCTTTCTGTATCAGTATCGAGAGCTCCATGACTGCAGATCATTTTTATTTCTTTAAGGGCAGTGAAAATGCCAGTCCACCAAACAAACTGAAAGAAACCCTCATTGAGCGAGCAGGCTTTGCTCTCCCTCTTGCGGTCCGAGCACGTCATTCCCGCAGCCTCCCCCAGCTCGCTCACTCTGGATTCAAAGGCTTGGCGCACGCTTGGGAGTATCCAGAGAGAGCGAGCGTGTCTCTATTCGAGGAAACGATACGGACAAAGGTTTCATTGAACGCCAATGCTAAATAATTTTGTATAGCTCTCGTTAGGAACCAGATGATTTTGATTTTGATTATTTTGGCTAAATCTTATAATCCAAAGAAAGGGGTTTTTAACCTTACGTGTTTTTAATGTAGCAAACACTCTAGACAGGAGGTATTGGGTGGAACACAATGCACTCCTTGCTAAAAACCAAGAGTGTTTTTAACACTCTTTTCAGCGACTAGTATTTAAAAATACATGAAGCACTTAGGAAAGTACCAGCAAATGAAACTGTTTCAGTGAAGTTTTTTGGATACTCGAAGGTCACTGCAAGCGGGTGGAAAATTGGAGCCTGTACTGAACTGAATAGGAAAAAATGAAATTGTGTGTATAACCAGATGGGGAGTATTTGAGTTCTAAGACCTGGGTTTTTGTTGGTTTTTTTTTTTTTTTTTTTTTTTTCCTTCTTTTTCCAGAAGAAAAAGCTGAACTTTAAATGACTCACAGATGTGAACAGTTTACTCTGCACACCTACATTATAAATAACCCCAGAGGAATGGTGCAGTGTGGTTTGTTTATGCACCAGAAGAGTCTATGAGATATTTTGCCTCCATAAATCATAACCCAAACAAAACAGAATCCTTAAATCTGAGTCCAAATGAATGTGTATGAGGAAGATTCCTCTACGTGCCAGGCAACACACCAATTACTTCTTCCAGATACTTTGTAATACTTCAGTCAGTCTTATAGAAGGGACACAGACGGCTGGTTGCCCGAGATGTACTCTCAGCTTTTTTCAACTGGAGGGGACTAAGCGCCTGCTGCCAGCGCGACTCCGCAGCACATGCACCTGCTGCTTTATCCCGGCTGGAACTCAAATACAAAGTGGGTTGTTACCTACGGGATAGGGCAGCTCAGCGAGACCCATTTACACCGTAATATCCCCGCATTGCCCCGGGGACCGCACGGTCCCAACCCTCCGGTATGTACTTGACAAATGACCTTTCACAAGACGTGTAATTTAAATTACAGTGAGCTCCAAGTGGAGCCGAAGAACTGCAGAGCAAGCGGATGCTTCTTCCTGGCATCGTCTTCCAAATTAAGAGGGAAACTTCCTAATTCACAAAGGAACTTTAAAAACGGCGATGGGAAAGGGGTATGGGCAGGCTGTCTCTTGCTGGGACCCCTCCGCCAGCCTTGCCCTCGAAGCCCTCCAGCCTCCAGACGGGTTCCATCGCCCTCCTTCCGGGCGCCCGCTCCCCGGGACGCCGTCAGGGCCGGAGCACACGGGGCAGGCGGCGGCCCCGGGAGCGCATCCCGCCGGCAGGGCCAGCCCGGGACGGGCCGCAGCCCCAGACCGCTCCTCCCGCCGGCTGCCGGGGCCGCGGAGCCGCGCAAGCCCCGCCCGGGCGTGGTGGGGCGGGCGCCGAGGGGCGCGGGCAGCGCCCACAGCCCGGACGGCGCCCGGCGCGGCGAGCCACGGCCGGCCAGGTCTGACCTCCCTTTCCTTGCCCCCTTCCCTCCCTTCGCGAGCGGGGCCGCGCCCGGGCCGGCCCCCGGCCCTTCCCGGCGGGGTGTCGGTCCCGGCGGCGGGGGCGCGGCGGGACGGCGGCGCGGTGCCCCCCGGGTGACACCGGCGGGCGGCGGGTGGCGGAGGGTGATGCTGGGGCAGGTCACCGCGGGGTGTCGGGTCACGGCAGAACTCCGGGCTGTCCCCAGGCGGTGTCCCCGCGGCTGGGGACAGGCGTGCCTGACGTCCCGTAAGGTCCCGTAAGGCTCCTCTCGTCCCGTTGGCGGTGCCGCTGCCGCATCCCTACCGTCCTCCCAAATACAGAAGAGCGAGAAGAACACAACTCCCAAACAAACGTGCACAACTACGATACTTTTGAGATACCTACACGGCTAGCTTTCAGAATTTCAAGAAATTAAATTGGGACGTAGTGTGGCGTCACACTGCGACTTAAAAATTGCTGTCATCAGGAAAAGGACATTAAATGATTTTGCGTGCTTTAATCTGTTTGCTGCACGTATTTGCCACTGGGAAGCCGAGCAGGCAGCAATGAGCTGGGAGGGGGCCCCTGAAATCGGGGTTTGTGGGGGTCTGCGCCCGGGGCTGGAATGGGTGAGCACTGACTGACTGCATCACTTCATGGGAACAACCTCATCAATACCTAGGAAGCAGCAGAAAAAGCATTCCTACATCAGATTTTGAAGGAAGTTTTAAATAGCGCAGGCAGCAGTTTGTTTGAGCATAGCATTATGCAAAATGACTCAAATGGAAAATAAAGTTCCCAGTGTTTGGAGGTGAGTAAGGGCCTTGGCCAGCAACAAACCTGAGAATGACTTCCTTGATTCCTACACAGGTCCACTTTGTGTCTCATCATTTCCCTTCTACAGTCCAATCTTTATGGCACCAAAAATATTTATAAGTGCTGAGTTTGGGTGAAAAGATGGAAGACATGGCCTTGAAATTCAAGAGGTATGGTCCAAATGCATTTAGGCCAGTAAATATTTCAGGATGGTGAAGGGAATCCACTATGTACTGCTCAAACCCACGCCTGTTGAAACATAGGAACTTTCCAAAGTTTCTCCAGCAGAGAAAAGACATCCAGAACATACGGACAGAAAATTAAGCGTTTAGTTAAACACTGCATTTTGTTAAAAACAGAGGAAAACACTGACAATGTGATAAGGAATATGTAAATTTTTTTTAACACACTTCAAAAAGGTAGAACATTGTTCCCTCCCCCCTGAAATGTATTTTGATAATTTCCAAGCAGATGGCAAAGAAAAGGAAATTATATCAATACCTTTGGGGAGAATGTGACATTCTGACTTCTTGAAGCCTAGAAAGAGGTTTATAAACTTACAAAATGAAAAAGACAAATTTAATCTTTCCAGACTTGTCAAACTTGTCTCAATTAATTTTTGATGACATAATTAGAACTTAAGGCTTTAATGTGCGCTTTTTTAGTTTACTTTTCAAAAGATTTAACTTTTTAAGACTCGGGGGAAACTGAGGGCTTTGCGGTGGGAACTGGAGCAGGAAGAAGGGGCGGACTCTGTGTAGGTTTGAGTGCTGATTCAGAGTACTCTATTAAGCCAAGAGAAGATGAACTCATTTTTATCCTCCCTTGGGGAATCAGACAAGAAACAGGAAGTCATTGATTCTAAGTAAGATCATTCACTCTGCAAGTGTAAACAGTGTGTTATGTGCCTGTAAATATTTCCAGAACCCATTGGCTTGTTGGAAAATACAAAGTAAATTATTACCATCTCTAGCAAAGAACCTGCAATAAAAAGAGTTATTTTCAATCTTTTTATCCATAATGTTTATGCAGTGGAATATTAATGAGTTTGGACATTGGGAAACGACTTGGCTGGACACACTGTTCACTGCCAGAAATCCATTGACTCAAATGTTTTGTCTGTTGAAAGACAAACATTTTTAACTCCACCCTGTAATATTGCACCCTATCAAAAAGCAAAAATTCTTTCATTACTTGACTCTTTTGTGTTTTCACTGCCACAGACACTGAAATATCCCACTGTTAACCAGATGTTGGCCTCATCCATTTCTGTTTTATGTAGCAGCAATTAGTTAAAAAGGAAAAACCTAAAATATCCTAAACAGTCTAATAACATGTTGCCAGTCCTCATTGCTTAGGAGAGCAAAATCCAGATAAATCTGCAGCTGAAACTACTTCTCCCCTCCAAAACAGGAGAAGCTGCTGCTTGGCAGTGCCACCTTCTCCCCTTGAAAAGGGGGATTCTGGACAAGCAGAGATGATCATGGACTAGGGACAGGACAACAGCGAGCAGCTTGCTTCCCTGACAATCCAGGGAAATTTGTGTAAGCTTAAAAGGAGAATGGCAAAAAACACCAGAGGTGTCTCAGTCACCAAAGAGGACTGCAGCTGAAGTGCTTATGTTTAGAATGTGGGTGTTGTAGGATCGGCTTAGGAAACTATTTTAATAATGTACTTAAATCCTAGTGATTCCTTGGGGATACCTGAATAGGAGATTCCTGAAAAAGGATAGTTGTAACCTCTGGTTTAGCAGCTTGAATCCCAGCCTGCAGGACCAAAGGAAGAAAGTGAAAAATGGAGCAGTTATCTTCAGACAAGTGATTGTGGCAAAAAGTTACAAACCTCACTTTTTCTTTCCTAGTTTTCCTTCTAAATTAAGGTATGGAATGAAAGAAACAAGGAATTTAGGGTATGAGAAAGGAAAGAAGGTTTTGAGCCAGAGTTTTTCACCTGTTTAGTTAAAATGAATTTTAGAGTCACATGAGACATCGGAATTTAGAAGAGAAATAGAAAATATTACTGTAGCAAAGAAAAGTGAAGGACTTTTTTGGAATCTGGCTCATGACTTTGATCTTGTGGTGCTTTTCCTTTTTTCTTCCTGTTGTCAAAAACAACAGAGAAGATAAATTCCTCAGTGTTTGGTCTCCAGCTGAGGGGTTTCAGGTGGGGCTGCCTCTTGTGGTGCAGGGAGGAAGGGAAGTGCTTGAAGCTGGGCTTCTGGAGGCCTGGGATAGCCATGGGAGGGGGCCCCCAGTGGTGTCACTCACTCATCCGTGCTAACTGTGTCAGGACCTGCAGTGTGGAGATCTGTATTAGCCTTAATCTTCCTGTGTCAGTCTCCTTCATCACACTGAAAACAGTGGCTACTTGCCTTTCCTCATCAGTGTCCCACTGTTGAGGTGACAAACATGCAATATAACATTATGACTTCTTGTTTTTTTCTTTGTTGTGATCTTCCAGTGGCCTTCCACTGAATGGTTTTTTTTTACATGTTTATTATTTTTGAGATAAATTGGATACTTAGGAGCTATTCAGGCTTTATTTTCAAAGCCAAACCTAAGTGTCCAGAACCCTGCAAAGGCCAGGCCTTTATTTAGCAAGGGAATTTTGGACTGAATGGTTACATTCAGCCATCCACTTACTCCACTAAACTGTCTACAAATACTTGGAATACAACAGAGCCCAGTCCTTCTGCTTACACACAGATGATTTTCTTGGCTTCTCAGACTCAAACTATGATGAGCCAGCTCTCATGCTGAATAATTTTTCCAGAAATGCTTGTCCAGAAGGGCACTGAGGCTAATTTCCAGAAGGCATGAGCAGTTAAATGTGGATAAAAGCAGAGCTGAGACTGAAACATGCCTGAACCAGGATGTCCTGAGATCTGCAACAGCTAATGCAAAAAGATTGTTTTTCACGTGGGGGGTCCATTAGAGACCATTTGGTCACCCACCTTTTCATTTGGAATCAGAAACTTCCATCTTGTTAAGGATATTGAATTTTAAAGGCAATTTGATTAAGCAAAATTTTAAAGGACTTTTAAAAGAGTGGTCTGCCAAACATTAAACTTGCATAAAACTAACTCACAGGCAGTTACATCTGTATAAAACATTTGCTAAGCAAAAGCTCGGTTCCCTACAAGACTGTCCTGAGCAGGAAAGGATAAATGCAGCAACTGAAGATTAAAATGTGAGATGTGTCTCTGCTTATCAAGGAAAAGTAATTGCAGCCATCGGATAATTGAAGAAATTAAAATACAATAAACCTAAATATTATCAACACAGATTACAGAATTTGATAGTTATGATAAGGGCCTCAGAAAACTATCATACTTTTACCATGTTTTGTGAAACTGTACTTGTGTAAAATTTGGGGGCATTCTTGAGATTTATATAAAATAGGTTAGTATGCATATTAAAATAAAGTCAGACATTAAATACAGACTGAATTTGACATAGGGACTTTTTCCCTTTCTTTTTCCAGCATAAATATGGCTGAACTTTCAGAGCCAGAAGGTACTGTAAACTGGAAGGAAAGATGTTTAACTTTGGAGTCACAGTTAATGAAATTTCGTCTCCAGGCAAGCAAGATCAGAGAACTATTAGCAGAAAAGGTAGGTCTCATGGGATGAATTTTAATGATATATAAATTATTTTATTTTATTATGGAGGTGGATCACAAGTCATGGTTTGGGATTACAAGTACTGAGATTTTTTTCAGAAAGGGAAAAATAGCTTTTTACAACAAAATATATGGAAATCATATATGTTTTAATGCTGTGAAAGAATTTTACACATCAGAATTGCCAGCAAGAAATATTCATTTTCAAGTAAGAGCACACTGGCAACTCTCCTGCAGAAAAAAATATGTATCCAGTAATCACTTTTACAACACTGAATAATATTTAACACATTTATTAAGTATTTGAGATGTGATTTAAGACACAGAAATCATCACAGAGAAAATCCAAGAGTATAATTTTCCCCAGTATTCTTTAATGTATCATATAATTTACCAGACTTCATTTTCTATAAGAAGACATCTCCAACTATGGCTTATCATCTGAGTCTCTGTATCCAGAAAGTCGAAAAGTATTGTATCATTTAATTTGAAAAATATTGTTTCAATATTTAATTTATTTTTCAGAGGAGAAACATTTCACTTGGTGTATTCAAATATGTGTATCCCAACAGTCAGTTTTAATTGAGCCCATATCTGAAATATAAAACCCCCACCATTTTATTTACCTGGTAATATTTTGACAGAACAAGGCAATTAAAAGAGTACAAGAGACAAAAGATCTTAGAGGTTTATTGTAACTATGTCATCATTAAGACCCACTTCAATGAATTTCTAATTGAAATGTTTTATTTTAGTAACTCTTCTTGAGCTAAATTTTCCATCAATTGCTCCCCCTAAAGAAAAATTAAATTCAGATAACCTGATAGTATGTAAGCGAAAATACTTTTATTTTTCACATTAAGTGAATTGTTCTTTTTTGTGGATTTATCCATTCTCCCTTTGAAGCCACAAATACACTTGATCTCCACATTTAGTCCTCAGTGAATCCTTCCCACTTTACTATGTTTTGGTGGGGGCAAAAGCTAAATAATATTAAAGCAGGAAGAAACAGATATTTTTCTATTTACAAAGAACCCTGGATGATGTACAAAGTTCCAGATGTGTTCCAGTCCTTTCCTAATAATGCTTAGTATTGTTTTCCTTGACAGCTAAATTAAAATTTACAATTGAGTGTTTTCATGGAGATACCTATCTTAATTTCAGGATCTTACACAAAGTCCTTTAGATCCCTATATTATGGGCCATCTATTATTTTATTGACTGTCCACTAAATCTTTTAAGGACCTGCATGTAAATCTTTCTTCTCAGAAAGCTTCTCTTATCATAAATAACAAAACACCACCAAAACCTTTGTCACTTCACTGCTCAGTGTCCATTACCAAATGTCTCCCTTGAACAGCAATGAGCCCGCAAGAGATCTCTGTAGATCTCCCCTGATAGCTGCTGGTCACTGTAGGAAGTAATCAATAATGTCCTATTTTTATTGAGCCCTTTTTGTAATTCATGGAGGGACATTCCCTCCTACCCCTTGGCTTTTTATTTCCTTGAAACACTTTGCAAAATTCAAATAGTTATAATAACCAGACCCTCCCTATCTTCAGCCTTCGTGATCCCCTCAAACTTCATTAGCTTTGTAGGCAAACACCTCTCTTTTTAAGGGCCACTTTAACTCTTTCTTTACCTATAATACTTATCCACATGCACCATAATTTTGCTGTTACATTTTCTACTAACTTACTTACTACCGACATCAGACTTACAGATCAATAGTTGGTTCTTGTATATCAAGAAAATGAATGTAATCCAGTTCTTGATTGAATACAATTTGGCAATTTGTTATTATTCATTTCATATGTTCTTGGCCTTATTTGTTCTATGGAGGCACCCAACCTCAATTTGAGATGGAAAAAACAGAATAAAGAAATTTAGTATTTTCTGTATTAGACGTTTTTTTATTAAGTAGGCATGAAAATTTACAGCAGTATAAAACAACTTCTAATAAAAAACTTTTTTCAAATAATATTAGTTATTATATTCCAAATTTCACTGAAATTGTATTCTTACAGTTAGCACTACAAATAGTACTCGGCATGACTAAAAATATTGCTGTTAGAAAACAGCGTAGTTGAAAACTCTTAATTTTTTCCTAATCCTACAATTTTTCTGTATGGCAAACTGTTATTGAAGAGATATTGCAGCATATTAGGTTTTGGAAGGATAATGAACTGTGCAAAGACATCCTTGAAATTTCATTTAAGAATTAAAAAAAAAAAAGAATTAAAAAGGAAACTACCTGTGCCTTTCATTGTAGTTAGCAAAGCTCAGAGGTGAGCAAGTTATTATCATCAGTCTTGGGGGAGAATATCCATCCCAGAGTACAATCCTGGCAGCTGTAACGCTCATTGGATACTCACACAGTCAGAGCTGTTAGGTCAGAGATATTTGTTCTGTCTCTATCCCATCTGGATCACTGCATTTCGGGATGGAAAGTGGCTAAACACTGGACATGACTTTCCTGGCAACCTTCTAGCAGCCGTTACTGCCAATTTTTATGTGGCTGCTGCTGATTGTAGTTTTGGCAACCAAAAAATTAAGATTCATGAACAATGCTTCACAAAACTATATAAGTTTTAAGAAAGATTTTAGAAATTTGAATGCTTGCTATTTGACTTTTCACTTTGTTCATTTACAGTTTGCATTTACAGGCTCTTAACTGCTAGAAATACCCTCTTAAATTAATAGCAGTGTGTGCATAATCATACAATTTCAAATATCAACATAAAAAAACCCAAACAAACAGAATAAGATGGATAAAACCACAAGTCTTTAGCACTTGCTCAAAATAAAGTATTCAAAGGCAAATACTGCTCTCATCTGTGAGAAATATGACTCTGAAATAGATAAAAAACCTTCAGAACTTATGTTACTGTCCTCTTGTTTTAGTTTGCCTTACCTTTCTCAGAAAATTTAGAAAAAGCAAAGTGATTACAGGAGTTACATGAGAGAAACATTTTCTGTTGAAGACCACGGTCCAACAAGTATTCAGTTGGGATAATTTGACATAATACTCTCCAGAGCAGAGCATTTACAGACTTCATGAAAAATGATCCTTCTCCTTACTGTGCCACTTTGACTTTTTAATATGAATCTTTCACTCATAAACTGGAATTCAGTTGGAACATGTATCAAAGTCTGATCACAGCTTAATAAATTTGATCACATTCATCTGCAAATTTAGAAATTTGCCACAATTCAAAAGCAACCATTTTCAAAATGGGCATTAAAATCTTTGCATGTATTTCTGAGTTGGTTTCATTTGCCAAAAACTCAGTGGTTATTTTTTCACATATTTTAATTTTTTATTTATACCGACAGCTCTCAGTATTTGTTAAAGATACACTCCCACTAGTTTGAAATTGAACTGTGTGGGATTGTTATTTCACATGTTTTAATTTTTGAAATTATACCGACAGCTCTCAGTATTTGTTAAAGATACACTCCCACTAGTTTGAAATTGAACTGTGTGGGATTGTTACTCAAAAATATGTTTGGGAAATAGCAAAGGGAGTAATGAAAACCCAGTTGGCCAGTATTTGACAGTCATCCTGATATTAATGACAAAATAATAATGCAGCTGATATCAGGATTTATAGGTACTTTCCAGATTTGTTACTTGTTATAGAATGAAACACATTGGCAAATGTGTCAGAAATAATTCTCACCCTTACTTTGATTAGCACAGGCCTTTATTTGTGGTTTTGTTTACAATCATCTCTACTCTATGAAATGTGTACTGAAACATTGAACAATAGCAGCAGACAGTGTTCCACTTCAAAGCAGCAACAAAATCACAGCACTGTGGTGTGACAGATGTAAAACCCTGTGGGTATTATACTATGTAATTGTTGTAGAAAAGAGAGTAAGAATGATACTGTGACAAAAACAGGGAGTCTGTAAAAGAAGAGAAGAGAAATGGATTGGTGGTAATTCTCCAGCCTTCCTCCTCTGCCTGTGTTTGAGAGGTATATCTTCAAGACAGTATCAGGGAAAGGAGTTTACATCCCATTACCCCATGTGTATGACTTGCCAGAAACTGCCATTGGGTTCTTCCTCTTGTTGTATAAGAGTCTAGAATCAGATTTACATAAGGGATGTCTTGGATCTGGCCATTTCCAATATTTGTGTATGATCTGTGTGAGCCCGTAAATGTATTCAGGCTGCCTTAATTGAAGTACTTTTCTTATACACTAGAAATCAAATACCTTTGCAAAGTTATTTTATTTAATAGCACCCCTGCAAATAAATGAAGAATTAATATGAAAAGTCTTGAGTATATTATTCTAACGGATGTGTTGTGATTGAGAAAAACAAACTTGACTGTGTTCTGTAAATTTAGGAAGTAGTCATCCTTGAAACTCAGCTGAGGAGTTTGAGAAATTTGCATTGTAAATGTGTTGCATCAGTACAGCTACCAGAGCTTTAATTTTTTACTGAACTTGAGAAGAGAGAGAAGCGAGGCAATATACAGTGTTTTTAGAAAACTTAATCCGTTCCCTGTTTTTTATTTGTTTTTAATATGTTTTCATTTTGCCAAGTAAAGTCTATATTTATAAATGTAACATGCAAAGAAAGAAACCTTGTTGAAGTTTTAAGCAGAAGCTGCTGCTGTAAGTGGGAGAGGTCTTTACAGGAATTTAAGGAATGATGTTAGAAAGTATCCTAGTAAGCCAAATTTAGGATGGCTGTGAAACTGAGCTTTAAGGAGAAGCCTGTATTTTAATGCAGCTTGAGTCTTACGTATGTGAAGAGTTTACAAAAAAACCCCTTTGTTGAGTAAGAAATTACATGTTTCTACTACAAGTTTAGCTTTCAGCTGGGATTTCAAATCACAGGAAAAGTTGGTGACCTTCATTCTTTTCTCAGTAAATGCATTTTTACCTAGAACATGCACACAACATAAGGTATAAAGTTGATGTTCTTCCTACCACTAAAAAATTGTTTTAGTAGAACTACATAGCTGTGTTAAATTCC